CAAAAGGTGCCAATTTCAAGAAAGGAAAAATGTAAAGCAACTAGAGAGTAAAGGGATTGTAGAAACTAAGGAACAGAAAAGAAATACATAGAATTTATTGTTGGAATGAAATATAGCAAGACTTGCATTGCCTACTAAGAAAGTTAGTAGCCGGTAGTCATCAGGTTAACTAAGTCACTATACTAAAAAAGTAAAATCTGATGTAAATTTTGTGTTCATCTTGCTAAGTTCTTATGGTCACATTAAATTCTATGTATTTCTTTTCTGTTCCTTAGTTTCTACAATCCCTTTACTCTCTAGTTGCTTTACATTTTTCCTTTCTTGAAATTGGCACCTTTTGCATTTTTTAGTTTATACAGACCCATGTAAGGTGTAGATAAAGTCTTTACAAAAAAGAAATTGTTGGACCAGTAAATCATTAAAAGTATCTTTAGTTTAAAAACTGAAAAAAAAAAGTCCTACCTAACTGCAAAATGATGATGAATATTGCTGAAAAAGTATTCAGTTTAATAGAGAAAGCCAAAAGATAGGAACTTTTTCTCATGAATTGTTTACCAATCCCATTTCTTAATCTCAGTTCATATTCTAAGCTGATTATTTTGTTTAACAAATGCCACATAAATGAGCTATTTAATAATTCCTACACAAATAGGTGAAATGTAATTTATTAAACAATACAGCCTTATGTTAACAGATAGGCAACTATTGTAGAAGTGTACTTAAGCCTTTATAAAGGAACACTAGCTTTAAGGGGTAATAACATCGTTTACACCAGAATTATGATTTATTTTTTTAATTTTGCATAGAATAATAATAATATAGGTAGTCAAAGATCGTGAAGACTGTTTTGCTCTATCAATTGATGATAAAATTATAGTTATTGCTAGAACTAGATATGTGCTAGGCCAGTTGAAGAAAGGTGACGATGAACGAAAATAAGAAATTTTGATATTGGCTATTCAACAATTTGACTTTGGGTCACTCTGGATAACTGAAAAGTGACATATACACTGGAGATAGAGCAGCTATACCAGGTACTTCTTCATATCTAGCTTCTGATGACTTGTATATGTATTTATTTTTTTTACTCCTTCACTTCATATGACACAAAGAAATAATTATTTTACCCAATACTTGTAAGAATGAAGATTAAGTAACACTCATTATTATAGCGTTACTGTTTCCAAAAGTAATGTTTTGCCATTTAAGTCTACATAACTGCTGCATTTATTTAAAAGGATATATTTCTGGGAGTTCTATCACAAAAAGACCAATACTAAATAGTTGTCAAATTAGAAGCATCCAAAATAATTAAAATTATCCAGCTGTATGTTTAAGTTTGACATAATCTACAGCAGGGTAATAATCTTTGATACAAACAGGTGGTAAAAGTAGCACTTGCTTCTTTGGCATATCATTATCAATTCATTTGCATGCAAATGTTGGCTTTGTCTGTTCCCAATTGTCACTGAATATAACTGAATTTTGATATATTTTGGATGACAAAGTTGCACAGAAAACTTCTTTAAAAAATTCCAGGATTTGTAATAATTTTAATAACAGCTCATTTACTTTCAACCTGTTAGAAAAGTTACATCCCTTCTGGTACATTATTTGTACATATTTTGTTAGTATGAAGATATATGATTGTATTTTTCCTTTTTTTTTGAAATTTTAAATGCATTCTTATAAAGATTTTGCAATTTTTGACAAATATATTGTACAAAACAAGATAGTACTTTATACACTGGTCAGTACTCTGAATGTGAAGAACAAATTAAATCACTGATATAACAAGCGAGATAAGTATTAATATGACACAGTTTTGTCTTTACATTATTTTTCACCTCATTGTGTACTTTAGTAGTAGCTATTATTTGAACTTTTAGAATAAACTCTTACCTGATATATGGACTCCACTTCAAAATCAAATTCACGAAGAAACCCGGTGAAAATTTGCATTATTGTCTGAGACTAAAGAAATCATTGAAAAACTAGATAAGATGAAATTGAGCTTCAAACCATTTTTCATGTTCTAAAAATGAATTCAAAACACTTCATCTTTTAACACTGGAGTATTAGTGCTTCTTTTTATTATTCATAATACCTAATTAACACATACAGAATATTTAATCTCAATTTTAAACTGAAGTATCATATTTTTTATCAGTTAATGCAAATATAAACTTTCAAAATCAAATTATTGCAATCAGCAAAATAACTTATCAGATTAATAAACAGCAATAAAATATGCTGTTTCATTCAAACTAAGGTTAAAAATAAACTTCCGATACTTAACACTGCAAAAAAAAAAAGTTTAGATGGATTGTTGTTTTTTTTCTAAGTGCATATGGCAGCCTACAGTATTTTAGACATTTTGTAAGTAAATTATCTTTAACTTGATAAGAAAAAAACAAAAAACTTTTGTTTCCTAATGTTTCAGTTTTACACTTTCATCAAGAATTATAGCTGCTGATTATAAACAGGACTGCTAGCAGCAGTAGCTCCTAATGATGTAAAACAGAAACAACTTTTTTTTTCTCATCTAGAGCTAAATGCAATTAATAGAAAAAATTGTTTCATCAGAGATATCATTATATAAATTGAATTACATCTACACTTTGTACAAGTCAACACAAGTTTTAAGTGATTCTCTCTTTTGATTGCTAAAATTACAAACAACATTTATCAAAATTCATTACATAGTAATTTTTTTTAAATTATTAAAATGTAATAGTAAATATGCTTACCCTAACTTTTCTCAGATCATCAACAGAAATGTTTAAGCTTTGGTAGTTCTCAAAAAATTGGACCAATTCTTCTTCACTCATTAAACGGACTGCCATCTTTTTGGTTTTTAGTAAAGCAAAGACAAATTTTAACTTGGATTTTTAGCAGGAAAAAAGATTAAGATACTTTGTTACCAAACATGTTATTTATAAATAAAAAAAATTCAACATCTGAGCTTCTAATAAAGTAAAAATTTAATATGTTAAGTTTACGTAAACCTTGTTTAATTTTTCCAAATTCAAAATAAGAACAAAAAAACTTTCACAGAATTTCAAATAAGATTCACCATATAAGTTGACAAAGAATAACATGTGATGGTAATGGTCAGAATGGATTGTCAAAATAAACATTTTCATGTTGATATATAAAACAACATACTTAATGAGGGCTTTGAACAGGAAAACCAACTTAAATTTTAACTTTTTTTAAACTTTTTACCACTCTATGGTAACCATTGGATAATGAATTGGGAACTCGCAAATATTTAGTATATATATATATATATATATATATATATCAGAGGTTGGGCTTACACATAAATTGCATTACATACACAGAAAGTTTTAATAAAACATGAAAATACAGACGTAACAAAACATGCTTGTTCACTGCTCCAAGCAAGCATCCTTTTAAAAAGAAATAAAAACCCCAAATATGTATATCCAAAAGACATAGTATTTGGTATTGAGAAGCAAAATAGCCTTTTATTTTATAATTTTTAGACCTTTCCTAATAAGATTAATTACAACTTCTTAAATAAGTTTTTCTGAACTTTATACTGGGTGTTATGTAGGGTTGGGCAATTAACTCAGTTACCTATTAGTATTGATTAGTGTCACATAAAATAACCAATTAATGTCACAAAAAACAGTCAACTACTCAAAATTAGTTTTCCTATTATTCCCACTGTCTATATAATCAAAATAGTGACATTATGATTTCTCATTATTATTTTCATTTAATTCAAGGTTGTTCAGCTTAATTGATTAGTGTCATGATTCACAAAAATAACCAACTAACCAAAATTAATGTTTCTAATTATACTATTTTAGATTATTCCAACTATCCAAGTCTTGTGAAAATAATCAATTAGTTGAATGTAATTGGTTAATAAAGCCAAACATTTAATTAATTAGCAAATTCCACTAATTGTCTAGCTCTAGTGCTATATGCACTATGCTATTCTTATGTAAAATATGAAATATGTATGTTTTATCAAGAACTGAATACAGAACATACAGGACAGCCTATCATCAAAAGTATCAACAATAATATTTGTTTTTAAGACTTACATTAATCATCAACATTAAGCCCATACACTAGAACCTTATGACATCTTCACAAGTTATGTCAGTGTCACTTTTAATACATGTCTACATGAACAACGCAAATATAAAACTAAAATTCAGACATTGCTAGGCATTATTTTTATGTTAATTTAATAGCCTACTGAACTACTTGCCTAATGTAGGAGTACTATAACTTGTAGTAAGTTAGTAACATTTGTCAGTACATAGTAATTATATAATAATAATAAACAGTAACATAAATGTGAGCTACTTTATGAGTTTATTACCAGAAATAGTCTAAGTATAATCAATAAGGCTATAACACTAGAATTTTTAAAAAGTATCTAAGTCTACAATACTTTAATAGCATAATATTCATGTCTAGTTACTCCTGCAATGATCACCTACATTAACATTGGACATGAAGACTGAAGTACAAAAACCTATGGTTTGAGATAGTAAAATTTAGAAGGCATAAACTAAAACTAAGTAAATTATGAACATTAAGAAGCATTTTGCCCCCAACTTTTACTAACAAATGAAAAACTACTCATTAAATCCATCCCTAATCTGTAAATTTTCAACAATCTTTTTTGAAACTCCTGTAAAGCTGCAGCATCTACCACTTACTATGACCTCTTGTTCTATTACCCTTTGAATTCAACAAGAAAAATCAAACGCCTCAATCTTATCTATTCCCCTAATAATTTTGAATACTTCAGTTAAATCATCATTAACCTTCCTCTTCTTGAGAGAAAAACAAAGTACTCAACTTATCACCATGCAATAACCCATACATTTCTCATTAATTTTCTCCAACAATTAAGATAAAATTAAAACAGTTCACAATATTTCAAATAAGTTTTTATACTTTGTCAATTTTCCTATACAATGTAGGCTATACAATCCATGTGTATGTAATTTATGTAACATAATATGTAAACATTTTCAATTGTTTTCAGTTTTTCTACCTACTCATTGCCAATTCCACATTGGGCAAGGTTTCTTCATTCAAGAAGAGATAGTTAATACTTTACTAAACTAGTACTCATACCAGCAATGGTAACATTATTTCACCATGAATAAAATATGTCAATTGATCATTTATGTTTAAACAATATAATCTCAAGAGTTTCATGCCTTAGTTTTTATGTTACAAAATAATAACATAAATAATTAAATGACTAATGTTAAATTGTAATAAGAAAGACCAGACATGAATTTTATGCTATTAATATTATCATAATGAAATCTTAATTTTAAAGAAAAATTAACTGTAATGTTAGGACTATTGTTAATCTTGAGTCTTATTTTATAGATGTTGGAATCAGGGTGTCTGGAAGATCATGCCACCCAATAATTAAATTGGGGGGCCCAAATATTATTGGTTTCCCCAATATTTTGCTGACAATTTTTATTTAGTCTTTTTCTATGCAGTCAGCTGTATTGAAAGGAGGCTACAGTTCTTTGGCAAATTATAATCATTACGCTGTAACTTAGTTTTTGTATATTTGTATAATGGTTATTGTATGAAACATTCATATTATTTGTATGATTTTACAGTACACAGCACACAATTTAACTTGCATTTTGTATCAACAATATAGCACTTGTTATTGTGTGAAATTGTTGAAAAGTTGAATAATATTTTAAATTAAAGCGTTTTTATTGATTGTCAGACAATTTTAATTCATTTAACATTTTAAGACAGCTCCCCCCACTCCAAATTGAGGTGAGAAAGCTGTCTTAAAATGTTAAATAAATAAATGTTTCGTACATTCCGACGTACTTGTACCATTGCCTACTGTCATTGACAAATCAAGATAGGATACTGTCAATAAGTGTCATATGATATAATCAGTTAGGATTGTGTTATTGGTGATAGTTAGTGTTCGTCTTATCAATATGACTAACTTCAGTTATTCAACTCGGTCAATCTCAATTAATCATTTATTCAAATTCAGTATTCCATTACAAGTACAATAGCCTAGGTACGTTCAAACTTCAATACAGTTACATTTACATGACGAGATAAAACATAAATATATATTTATTTATATACGTTAAAAATATGATTAAATAATTATTCATATCGGTTAGACTTACGATTCAAATAATTACTTCTAGCCCCTACTACAAGTGACCTTTTTGGGCTTTAGTAAAACTATAGTTTAGATAATTTACGTCGATGACTTCAATTTTCAAGTTACTCGAATCATTGAATTTAGCGCTCAACGAATATTCATTTCAACAAAAACCAAGACCGCAATATTTTCAATCTATGAGACGCTAGATAATATTTAATAATTAATATGAAAATCGGATGGGCGAAACAAAAAATTGTATTAATAAAAAGGCTGTAAATTGTCGCTAATATATTAAATAGTACTAAGTTAATCTTGATAATAAGATATCGTGTGTGATAAATTATTTTATTTTTGGATCTATAAAATCTGTTACAGAATTATTATTTTTAGCATTATATTACAGTAGATAAATATCAGGATTCATTTTTCGTCAAAAGTTTAAGAGACTAAGACCATTTAGAATACAAACAGCCAATCGTCAAGTTGTTTATGATAAAAAACTTTAGAGTAAAGTAGTGTTCCATCTATTAAAAACAAATACTTATACCCTGAATGTCTCTGTTTCTTGTTAAGCACAAAGCTACAAATAGGTTATCTTTGTTGTACCCACCACCAATATCAAACCCGAATTTAAGCGTTATAAACCTACACTGAATGGAAACAAAATGTGTTAGAAATCAAAATAGTTTGAACTTAAAAATACAATAGTTTACATGCTAAGTTGAAGTAAAATCTTATTTATATTTTTCTGCTTTGAGAAAAAGCAGTAATTATGAAATCATAGAAGGTGATTGCTCATTCGAGGCTTCGGTTTAAACGGTTTTGTAGTTCCCGTTTTACTGGGACCAAAAGTACTAATTATAAAAACTGAAAAAAAAGGTGAAAGTCAATCCATTAAAATTCGGATTTTATCACGCTCTAACTGTACCTGTTTGTTATTTACGTTACTTTTTAAAACTATGAAGCAACTGTTTTAAGACAGTATTCTTATACAGGTAAGATATTGTTGCGTCAGCGAGGTCACGTGACTAGTATCACGCCACGTCCTTCTCGAACCTTCGTGAATTATCGGAGACTACTAGATTGGGGGTAGCTGGTATATATAAGATGGTCACAACGTGACGGAACAATGAGTAATTGAATGTATGTGAGACGTGAGTTATAGCGTTGTTATAGAGCAACTGTTGAAATTAAGTGTATCGTAAAGTTGTATTCGGAAAGAATAAACCAGTTTTATTTAAGAAAGGACTTGTGTCGCTAAAGTTTCGTCGGAACGAATTTACGGAAAATTAACGAACGAACGGAGTCGTAACAATATAAAAACTGACTATTGGTGAACAATATTTAAACTTGGTCCGGTTTGTTTGTTTCTTTGTTTAACGAAAACTGTTCTGCCTACCACGAGAAACGCTAAAGCCAGATTTTAGCGTTCTAAGTCAGTGAACTTATTTCTCTGGAGGACATATAAAAACTTACTGCCATCTCTGCTTTGAGATGTTGTGTATTATTATTATTCTGATTGATTTTAAAACGTAAAACAGTAACATAACAATAAATATAATAACCTAAAATAAAAGAAACGAAGAAAATCGGAAAGTTTCAAAAAATAACCTAATTCGAACAACGTGACCTTTACTTAATATTTGATTTTTTTCTCGATTGAATAAATAAACAGAGTTCTCAAATTCCAAGAGAAACGGTTCAGCGCTTTGAGGCAATGTAAGAGTGATGAGCTTCGGTAAAACAAGAAGTAGCCTAAGAATTGGCAGTGATTGTTGTTGACTAGTTGCCTTCCATCTAGTCTATTTACCCTATAGTGACACAGCAGTATGTCTGCGGACTTACAACGCAAGAAACTGGGTTTCGATACCCTTGGTGACAGAGCACAGATAGCCCATTGTGTAGCTTTGTGCTTAAGTTCACACAAACAAATCTAGTCTATCAGCTGAAAATTAGGGACATTTAGGGCAGATGGCCCTTCAGTAACTTTGCACGAATATCTGAAAACAAACTGTAACTTTACGGGAAATTTTTGAAACAAACAAACAAATAAAAGTTACTAGATCATGAAATAAGGCCATAAATAAATAAAGTTTTAAACAAAATTAAATGTCCCGCTTATGCTGTTAGACAACCAAAAATAAAGAAGTTAATAACAGTAAACTATATATATATGACTATTTAAAAAAAAATTACATTGACTGTGCCTTCAAGCTTAATTTGTTAATATCAAATTAAGTATGTTCGTGTAAAAGTGTTTTCAGGCTCTGAAAAGCTCCAAACCTCTAATATTTATAGAACATATACATGTATATAAGTTTGTAATTTAAAAGTTAAATAACTCTAACAGTATATGCATGCTGACGCTCTCAATAGATGTTATTCATCACTTTGCATATAGGACCGGCCGAAGCACAGTGATTAGGCGTACCGGACTATGAATCTCATGGTCCACGGTTTGCATCCCTTTTACGAAGTCACGCTTCACACTTTGGAGCTGTGCGTGCCTTGTAATATTGATGGTCAATTCCAACTCTTCGATTGAAGTAGCCCAAGGATTGGCGGTGGGTCATATCAACTAGCCACCTTCCCTATAGTCTAGCAGTTCAGGAACGGCTAACACAAATAGCCCCTGTGTAGAATTGCGTGAATATCTGAAATAAACAAACAATTACTTATCATTATTGATTCCAGGCTTAAGCTGATTTAAATTATATTTTTAATCAAAAACCATCACAACTAAAAACTACGACACATAATGATTAAAGATAATTATCTTAAAAACACGTTCTTTCAAATGAACTTTCTAATATAATACACAAAGCTAAGATGTTTTGGTTTTTGGCACTTATATTTATTGATTTGTCGTGAATTTGAAACACGGTACCCATATTAGCATAATGTTCATCTGATGCTCTTGTTCAGTTTGGTTTCTTGATGTCACAATATAATATATAATGATATATATCATATGAGGCAGAAGGAGACCGCACTGCTGAATCAACCAAAAATACTCTTATTGGATCATATAAGTAGAAAATATAGATTCAAAATGTGTTTTTCCATAACTTCACTTGCCCTCTTTCGTCATAACAATACAATTACAATAATTATTATGGTTAATATAAGTACAAGTTTTAGTGTTGAGAAACAAAGCATGAATATATGTTTATCTATTGTGGAAAATAAAATGATAACTTTTAATACCAGTATTTCTAAATAAATAAATAAAAAACTTGTAAAAAATAAATTAAAATAAAATCTTCTATCTTAATTTTAACTTCATTTCTAGGCCTGTGAATTTTAAAAAATCCATGACAATATCAACTGCTGATCTTATTTCCTTAGCTTTGTATAAAAATCGCTTAAAGATAAAGCCAGAATATTAAACTGAAACCCAAAAAATTCTGGTTTCTTTAAAATTAATGATTAGCTAATTGTTTAAGAGGATAAACAAATTAAGTATAGCCGGTAAATCCAAACCATACACACACCTGGAATGTAAGACACTCAGTAAGACCGTTCAATTGCTTACCCGCAACTTAGAACTCTCAAAATCAAATTAAAAGCACATAAGCATTTGCTCTAAATACAGACAATAAGACTACTTTATTAGTTAGCAGAAATTAAATTTTCAATCCTAAGAGTACTTTATCTTACAAGTGCACATCCCCATCCCACCAAACATGCTCGCCCTTTCAGCCGTGGGGGCGTTATAATGTGACGGTCAATCCCA